CCTTGCAGAGCTAATGTGGTGATAAAAGAAGCTGAGATAAATGTCTTGCTAGATTGGTTCGGATGAATCAGTTCCATCATCACATATGAAGAGGGTTGCTTGTTTTGTTACAGGCTATAATAAAATGATAACCATTTAAATACAAGTGGTTGAAATGAGCTTCCTTTGTAGGGTGGCCAAGTTAACCATAGAGATATAGAGATAGTGCGGGGAGCTACACTGGGAGCTCACAACTTTACTGCAGTAAACAAGTCAGCTGAGGTTATTCAAGCATCTGGTTAGAATGCCTTTTAGATGCGTTCCTCTGGAGGTTTTCTGAGCTTGCCTAGCTGGAAAAAGTACTTTGGGAAGACCCAGAACTCACCAATGAATGTCTCTCCTTGAATGAGAATGTCATGGGATTCCCCAAGAGCAGGTAAAGGATGTCACTGGAGAGAGGTTTGTCCAGGTCTCCCGACTCAGTCTGTTACTTATGCAAATTTTATTTTTTATTTTTTTGAGCTCAGTTTAAGTGTAGAAACATTGTGAAGTGTTTCAATGAACTTATCATCATCGCTCAATTTTTTTTTAATTTTTAAAAAAAATTTTTTAAAGAAAGAGAAGAAAGAAGAATAAATAATAAAAGAGAAATAGATAAAACGAGAGACCACCATGACAAAACAACATGCACAGCACAATGCCACCCACAATATCACCATGAAACATTCGACATCGCACAAGGAATCATCTAGCTTCCACCACTACCCAACCTAGCGTGCATCTGTCAAAACACCTGAATCCAAACACCCACGCAAGCACGCCCGCCACCACCAGATTTCTCCAAAAGAATGCCCAATAGTGGACGCGGGGGCCCACAGACCCGCCCCCCCAGGACACAATGGCAACATAGGGAGGACCGGAGCCACAGACACACAGCGGCCCACAGGCCCAGAGCCCCAGGAGTCTCCCAACAGGGAGAACCGCACCCCCCCAGAGAGGAGCAGAGGAAAGAACCGGGTGACCCCAGCCACCACAATGCAGAGCCTCCAGGAAGCTGCAGCGACGAGCCCACAGGTCCGGTCGGCGACCCATGCCCCCCCCCCCCAAGTAGATCCGGCCATGGACACCGAGCCCCAAGCCACGAGGCCATACCACCCCCCGGCAGAGCCCCGACAGAGCCAGGGCACCCAGGCCCCACCAGGCAGCAACCAGGGCGGACCGACGTGCACCCCACCACCCAGCCCAGACACCGAGAGCCACCAATGCACCGGCGGCAAGGGGGTCCCCCGCCAAAGGGGGGCACCACACCAAACGTGGGGCCCAAATTGATCCAAGAGAGGGGGGACCACCAAAAACCCAACCTGAGCAACCAACAGGCACACACAGATAGCCCGACAGAATCTCTGTCGAGCCGACTGCATGCACCATCTACCTGACAGCGACCACAGGCCAGCCCCAGCCCAAGGGGCAGAGCAGCAGGGAGCCGCAGCTGAGGAGGGCCAGCCCCCACATCAAGAGCCCCGCACCATAGGCCCGGAGACGCCCCAGCATGCCACCTATGCACCCCCACACACACACAGCACCCCCACCGCAAATGCCACACAGGAAGACCAGCCAGTGCCCCGATGAGGTGAAGCCACGCCCCCAACCGCCGCCCTACACCACCAATGACCACACGTACACTACCATAGCCGACCCCCCGCCGAAAGCCGGCAGCCACCCCGGTCAAAGTGCAGGCCATCGCAACCAGGAACCTAGATTAAAAGAATCGGAACAGCCCAGGAGGAACCGAAGCACCGGCCCCATCACTGACCGCCCCCAAGGCCCAAAGCCCACCCACAGCCCAGACCCCAACAATGCGCCCCCCCCCCCCTCCATCCCAGACCCCTAGTGTCACACGGAGAAAGGAGGTGTTTGTGGGAAAAATAAAAATAAAAAAAAATCTATATATGCATAAATAAATTATGCATATATACTTATACTTATATATACTAATTATACTTCTGCAAATTGATTTAGGATAATCTGACGAACATGGATGGATGGGTGGACGGATGGATGGACAGACAAATGGACGTTAAAAGTTTTGATCTAAATGGAACATAGGCACCAAGTATGGCAAACAGAATCAGTGGTTGGTAAACAGCCCCACTGTTAAAGGGAATAATCTGAGATATGGCCTGATAGTTTGGCTTGTCTCTTTGCTGGCCTGGGAATGCCTTGGAGTCCTCCCAGAACAACTGGACAAGGTGGCTGGGGAAAGAGAACCCTGGGCTTCCCTGCTTAAGCTGCTGTCTCTGCAACCCAACTTCAAAACAAGCTCAAGAAAATAGATGGATGGATGCAGTGGCGCAAAAAGCGGGTATGCAGCGTATGCAACGCATAGGGGCGCTGCACTGCAGGGGGCGTCAAAACCCTCTGTAGAAAAAATGTTTTTCTAGTAGGCATTTTCTAAATGATCAATAACAGGGGAACAGCACTGATTAGGCGCCCCTCTGCTCCTTCACCTCCCCTCTGCTCCTTCACCTCCCCTCTGCTCCTTCACCTCCCCTCCTATCGCTCTCCCTTCCCACACAGGTGGCTGTGAACACGCCCCTAAGAGAACGCACTCGGCGCGTTTTTTTTTTTTTTTTAATCTTGAACTACCGCTCGTTGTGCACTTGACAACAAGATGGAGCGGCAGAAAAAAAAGCTACCCGGGGCGCAAAACAGAAAAAGGAAGTCACTTGACATTGCAAGCAAAATAGCCATCGAAATGGATGCTTCTCCTAAGTTCAAAGAGAAACGACTTAGGAAGCAAAAGAATTTCCCAGATGACAATTCATGCACTGGTCATCATGAAAAGGAACCCACAAGGCACTTCAGGTGCATGGTTTTCAATGTTATTGTTGACACACTCCTCCAAGAGCTGTCTGAGAGGTTTTCCAATTTTCAACTTGTGTCTGAGAAATTTAAATTCATCACTAAAATGGAGCACATGACAAAAGCTGAGCTGGAGGAATCAGTGACCACATATGCCCTGACCACTTGTGATGTTTCAAGAGATATCATTCAAGAAATATACCCAGCAAGCCGTCTACTGAAGGGTTACAAGGCTCTAGAAAAGTTAAATTTCCTAATTCAAGAGGACCTTGATTTGGTATTTCCAAATTTGACAGTAGCCCTTAGAGTATTTTTAACCATGCCTCTGACAGTTGCATCTGCAGAGAGATCATTTAGCAAGCTGAAGCTCATCAAAACATACCTTCGTTCAAATATGAGCAATGATCGCTTGTCCCAGTTAGCAGTGATCTCTATTGAAAACAGTGTGGCACGGTCTATTTCATTTGATGTTATACTTGACAAATGGGCAAATGCAAAGTCACGGAATGTAACAGTTTAAATGTCATAAATGTTAAAACTCTGACATGGACTCCAGGCTGTTAAGATGTCATATTTCCGCTACATAAAATGTTGAGCACTGACTGAGTACCACTACTGTTATATATTTGTACTTTATAAAACTTCTTATTTGTTTATGATTGAAATGATCACCTGATATAATATGTAACATTAAAAAAATCTGTAATATTACTACTGTATTTTCTAAGTGCATGACTAAGCTGTATGAGGCGGCAAGTAAAAAGGAGCGGGTGGGGGGGGCGCCGATGATGTGTTCGCATCCACCTCAAAAATATGTAGTTGCGCCCCTGGATGGATGGCCTGATAGTTACATTTATTTGTTAAAGAGATAGTGTGTTGGTTTGGGGTGTGAGGCCAAGCAGCAGAATGACTCAACACTTTCCGCTTGCTATGCCTTCACTGCATCCTGTACATCTCCTTGCAAACCAAGGTGCCCAGTACATAATTCCTTTCACACACTGACATTTACACCTTTCTTAGGCCACAGCAGCTGCTAGTTTGGTCATGTGCAATGCATGGATGATGGCTTCATCCCAAAGGACATCCTACCAGCAAATATTACCAGCAAACTGGTAATAGGAAGAATGAATATTAATCATCTACTACTGCAATATAAGACCTGAAGTCTGTGGGTATTAATCCTTATCTCTTTATTTTCCAACTAGAATACTTCCTTCTCAGACTGCAGATTTACTTGCGGTTCCTAGAGTTTCTAAACATAGAACGGGAGGCAGAGCTTTCACATATAAGGCTCCTCTCTTTTGGAATTAACGTCTAGGTTATGTTTATGAAGTGGATATTTTGCCTACTTTTAAAACTTTTGCTTCTGATAAGCCTTTAGTTAGGGTTGGCCTTGATTTCCTGAGCTTTTTTAGATTTGATGCTCTTTGGGCTTAGACTGCTGGAAGACAAACAGACCACACTCTGTTGCATATTCTGCATCTGTCTGTTCAACCCTTGCAGTACAGTATTTAGTTAATTACATTATCATTCAGTGTATCAGCTAAAATGCAAACTGAAAGTACAACAATACAACACCATTCCTACACTTTTCCTCCTATTATTCTATTTAGCATTCATAATGGTGATGTTCTTTCCAACAATAAATGTTCATGTTTTTGTTTGTTTGTTTGTTTTGTTCTTGAAAGAAGTCAAATTACGTACTTTCAAACTTTCAAATGTCTGTTTTCTTGTTTTCTACAGGTGTTCATTAAAAACAATGAACTTGACTTCCAGCTTTGAGCTTTTCCATTTCCCTGCAATCAACTCTTCTGGTATGTGAGACTAAATGATAAGCACTAAAGTTTGACTGAAGCACAGGCACAGAATCTGTATGCACATTTTAGATACAATTTTGAAATACATTCAGTAGATGTACAATATTAATTTATAGGTAACCTATCACAACCTCTGTTTTATGGTATTTTTAAAAGACCATGGAAATGTTTATTAAAAATCCTTGATTGTTACAAAACAAATTATAGTAAAATTTTCTGTGTTCAGGTGTCTTTGCCCAGGAATGGACCATATCATCTGAGAGTGACTGGAAGACACATAACATTACTCGTATTTTAAGAGAAGGTGGAAATGTCACAGAATCCCCATTTAACAAAACTTTGATGACTGTTGAAGAGTTTGATCCATTAGGGGGCCATACTATCTGGCAGGTACCAACTGTTTTAACAGCAACTTTGTTTTTGTAACTTTTTTAAGACTTTATGTTCTGGCTTCTTTCACGAGGATTTTTAACTGAAAGACAGTCAACTTCTTTCATGCAGCTGTTACAAACTTCCAAGGAGCTTATAGCTTGTTCAAAAATCCTTAGTCATTTTAGACGAACCATCCATGCACACATGTATGATGATTTAGACAAGCAGGACAATAAGGAAGGGGACACTGACTTTCCTTGACTGGTGAGACAGAGGAATCAAGCTGTAAAGAATGTGCTGCAGGTTAGGGTTATACAAATTGTAATGATATAACAAATGAGGAGAGTGAGATGAAAAAATGGAAGGAGTACTTTGAGGAGCTAATGAATGAAGATAATGAAAGGAGACAAAGAGAAACAATAGACCAGGAAGTGGGAACACTTTAAAAAAAATAAAGACGGGGAAGGCAGTATGACCTGATGACATACAGTGGGGGTTTGGAAATGTCTTGGAGAGATGTCAGTGAGGTTTTTGACTCAATGGCATATTTGAGGGTGAGAAAATGCCTGAGGAATGGAGAAGAAGTGTGCCCATTTTTAAGAACAAGGGTGATGTACAGAGTTGTAGAAAATACAGGGGAATTAAGTTGATGAGATCAATGAAAATGTGAGAGAGAATTGTGGAAGCTAGACTTGGATGAGAGGTGACTATTTGTGAGCATCAGTAAAGTTTCATGTCAAGAAAGTCCACAAAATATGCCATTTCTGCTTTGAGGATGCTGATTTAGAAGTACAGAGAGGGTCAGAAAGAACTTTGTGTCTTTGTGGACTTAGAAAAAAACATATGACAGGGTGCTGAGGGAGGAGTTGTGAGGGACATCTGGAGTGACAGAAAAATATGTTAGACTGTTACAGGACATGTATGAGGACAGCAGGACAGTGGTGAGATGTGCTGTAGGAGTGACAGATAGCTTCAAGGTAAAGGTAGGATTGCATCAAGGATCAGCTCTGAACCCCTTCTTGTTTGCTCTGGTGATGAACCAACTAACAGATGAGGTCAGGCAGGAATCCCCACATTTGCAGATGACATTGTGATCTGTGGTGAGAACATGGAACAAGTGGTAGAGAATTTGGAGTGATGAAAGAAGAATGAAAGTCAGCCTTAGTAAGACAGAGTACATCTGTGAATGAGAATGAGGCTGGTGGAACAGTGAGGCTACAAGGAGCAGAGGTCACAAAGGTGCAGGACTTCAAGTACTTGGGGTTCACTGTCCAGGAAAATGGGGAGTGTGGTAAAGAGGTGAAAAAGAGAGTCCAGACAGGATGGAATTGATGGAGAAAAGTTTCTGGTATAATTTGTGACAAAAGGGTTGCATTAAAGGTCAAAGGAAAGTTTTATGAAAAAATAGTGCGACCAGTATTGTAAGATTTGGATATAGTAGCAAAGACAGGAGACAGAACTGTAAATGTCTGAGCTGAAAATGTTGACGTTCTCCTTAGAGGTAATACAGATGGATAAGATTAGGAGTGAGTTCATCCAAAGCACAGGGAGATAAAGTTAAAGAGGCCAGACTAACTAAACATCTTTGAATAACTACAAGTAACATCTTTCTTTTTCTGCTTCTCTATACACAGGTTATCATAATTGTCTTCCTGACTGGATGCCTTTCTCTTGTCACTGTTGTTGGCAACATTCTAGTTTTATTGTCATTCAAGATAAATAAAGCTCTGAAGACAGTGAACAACTACTACCTGCTTAGCCTGGCATTTGCTGACCTGACCATTGGCACTTTGTCCATGAACCTGTATACCATCTACATCATCATGGGCCAGTGGGCATTGGGGCCAGTGGTTTGTGACTTGTGGCTTGCAATAGACTATGTGGCCAGTAATGCCTCAGTCATGAACCTGCTTGTCATCAGCTTTGACAGGTAACAAATGTCAATGTAAACTTTTTCTCGGTTTTCCGTTTTGCCTTGATATGATTTTATTTTCAACTAACTTACTTTTATCAACCTTAGGAAATCTGAAGAAAATTTTAACTGTAGTAACTTTTGTAATTAGTGTTAGGGAAAACAATATTGTTGAGAGTAATGCCAAGTACAAACAATTTTATGGTTTCCTTTTGCTTCCTTTCTTCTCACATCTTCATAGGTATTTTTCTGTGACCAGACCTTTGACTTACAGGGCAAAGCGTACAACTAAGCGAGCAATGACCATGATTGGATTAGCCTGGACAATCTCCTTTATTCTTTGGGCCCCAGCTATACTGTTTTGGCAGTACATTGTGGGTGAGCGAACAGTTCAGCCAGACGAGTGCTACATCCAGTTTTTGTCTGAACCCATAATTACCTTCTGCACTGCTATTGCTGCATTCTACCTGCCAGTGACTATCATGGCAGTTTTGTTTTGGAAAATGTACCAGGAAACAGAGAAACGAGCTAAAGATGTGCAAAGCCTTAAAGGATCTGGTGTAACCAGCAACCCAAACCAGGATCAGAACCAAGGGAGTAATAGTGGAAGGGAGAGAGAGGGTTCAGTTAATAGCCAGAAGATTTCATTAACCAAGCTACACCAGATGGGCTCCCAAACCCACAGTAGCTGTGAACTCTATCAGCCTTCCCCACAGAAGAACAACAAGCTAAGTGCCATCTTGGCCCGAGGAAGCCAAGTTAGGTGTCATACATTCTGTTTCCGATTTTCCTCGCTTCTGGCTGATCGTCATACATCCAATAGGTCCTGCAATGCAAGTACAGTAAGCAAGGCAGAGCACAGCAGCTGTGACAACTTTACCAATGCTTCTGAAGACCAGACTGTTTCAGAGGAGAAAGCTAATGAGACGGATCATTCCCAGCATCCAACAGGTTAGACACAACCCAAATAAGAGGTCTTTGTAGGAGTGATATTTAAAAAATAACTACAACAAAGTTTTAAAAATGTAATTACAGTGGTATCTATTTTATGTCTATTTGTCCAGATAGTATGAAGTCTTCAAAGATGAAGAAAAGCAAGGAAAGAGAGCGATTACTCACAATCAAAAGTCCCAAATGGTCCAACAGTGTTACGTCCTCTTCTACTCCAGATCAGACACCTGAAGCTATGACCACAAGAGATGTTGCATTAGCCAAACGCTTTGCTTTAAAAGCCAAAACAGAGATCAACAAGCGCAAAAATGAAAAGAAGGCTAATGAGAAAAAAGCAGCAAGAACACTTAGTGCCATCCTGTTTGCCTTCATAATGACATGGCTACCATATAATATCATGGTGTTGGTCAACACTTTCTGTCAGGGCTGTATTCCTGAAACTCTGTGGGCTCTTGGCTACTGGCTGTGTTATGTTAACAGTACAGTCAACCCCATGTGCTATGCTCTTTGTAACAAAACCTTTCGTACAACTTTTAGGGATATTTTATTATGTCAGTGGAAGAAAAGAAAGAACATTTCTAATTTTCATCAAAGACAGGCTGCTGTGTTCAGAAAGAAAGACACAAGTTAGCATTCAGTTAAAAATATTAGACAGACATTTATTTAGCTTGTATGAATTATTACAAGTATTGCTGGTTTTAACAACAGATGGCTAAGGATATTTCTTGGTCTAAAAGAAACAAGGATTCTAGTGTTGTCCAGCTTAAAGGACAACCAAGAAGGGGTTTTAAATTGCAGTTCCCCAAAAAGAGTTTACAGTAATTTAAATGATGATCACAGTAATATCAAAATAAAATCTAAGCTCTTAAATAGCCCAAACTACTTTAGACAAAGCACAAAAAAAGGTCCAAATTACTAATGGGGATAAAACCAAAGTGAGTTAATGTGCGTTGTAAGTTTAGAAAGTAAATGCACTGAGATCCATCAAAATGTCTTCCTCCTCATATAAGTTGATCAGTTAATTTGTTCGAAGCATTACAGGTGAAAACAAATACAAATACTTCTAAACATATGTTTACATATATACTGTATGTTTACACATGCACGCACGCACACACACACACATATATATAAATATACACTGTATATAATGTCAACCCAACACTAAACAGTTAAAACCAACAGAAACAACTCATCTGCACAAATAACCTGAAAACGTCCGCTCGTCTCTGTCCCAAGATTCCCCAGAAGGACGTGTAGCTCTCACAGTCTCTTACTTTCAAGTTCAACATGTAATTTCAATAATTCACACTGGTATTTAAACAGTACCCCACAAAACTTCCTGTTTCTATAAAATTTCTTCATGTAATGAATCCAAAAGACAATGGATTTGAACTTCAATATTGAAATTTTTAAATGTAAACCTATCATTTAGGTTTATCCTTTATTAATATAACCTAATATTTTTACTTTGTTCAACATCACATTTTGGCCAGTTGTTTAATAACTCTGCCTAAAGAGCAAGAATAAGCTGCAGATGGGATGTTCAAAGCAATCATTCAGTCTCTCATGTTCAATGTGGAGCCATTGAACTGACTGATGGATGTTTGTCAGCTCTCGTCTAAAGCTGCTGCAACTCTCTGGTTCTGTCAGCACAACACTTATGTCCTGTCGCTGGCATGTTGCTGCCAAATCCACGTTCATGGATTACCCATTACAATGGATAACCCTAAATCCCTTAGAGAGGTCAAGGTCGAGAGCTTCAGATGTTTTTGCAAGATATTCCAGGAAACAGGAGCGGAGTTCAGTTCTCACTGAGGGAACACTGCAGGTAATAATGTCCTGAGAGCGCACGCTGTAGCTACACTCACACAGTGACATATAGGAGGAAATGTATGAAGGCAACAGACCAAGAAGTGATTTAAAGATGAAAATGTACCAGTGGAAGAGTCTGTGTGAAGTTAATGATGACCAGTTAACCAGTAAGAACAGGGTGCAATGGTGGGTACGATAGTTACAGCCAGTTATGAATCTTAATGCACCATGATAGACAGCATCAAGCATCTGCAGGGTGCTTGTAGGAGCATTCATGTAAATAATGTCACCGTAATCAATGGAGGGAAGGAAAGTCACAGTTACAAGGTGTTTCCTAGCATTCAAATTTAGACAGGATCTATTTCTGAAAAAGAAACCCAGTTTAACTTTCAGTTTCTTTACCAAGTTTTTGACTTGAGGCTTAAAAGAGAGATGCGAATCAACCAAAATAACCAAGTATTTATAAAAATCGACAAACTCAATAGGGACACCATTTGACGATAAAATAGAAGGAAGAACTGCTGAGACCGACTTCCTGTTTGAAAACAACATCCCTTTGGTTTTGCTGGTATTTAGGACAAGTTAGAGGTGGAACAAATCTGACTGAACGATGTCGAATTCAGACTGTAAGAGCTGGAAAACCTTTGCAACCGTTCTAGCTCGACAATAAACAACTGTGTCGTCAGCATAGAAATGTAAGGCTGCATTTGCATACATTTGTGGTATCAAGCAACACAAAAGTTATATTATTTCCAGTAACTTGTGTAAATCTTATGATGGTAAAATACTGTAAAATTGTAAAAATAATAATAATGTGAAGATGCATGCTTAAAAGACATTTGGAAAGCAATTCGAACACTCCATACACTAGGCTGGTTGTTTTCTGCATTGCTTTGTTCCAGAATGTTCTTTAATAATGTAGGTTTCCAATGCCAAAGAACAAATAGTGCCACTGAAAATGGAAATCTTTGCCTCATAACAGTGTAGTGTGCTTCATCACAGTTTCATTGCTGTTCATATAGGCAACTTTTGTTTCATTTGTGATGATTGATTTGTCTAATCATGGAACGAGAGGTAGACCACTTTTCAATTGTTTCAGTTTCACAGACATACAAGACTTATTTTGAGTGAATCACATCTCAATATCATTTATCCATCTGAAGTGTTACAGTTGAAATCAGATGTTTACATACGCTGTAAAAAAATTATCTTTAAACTGTACAACTTGGGTAATTGAGGGCACAAATTGTGTTGTAAAGCATTTTGATTAGCCTGGTTGGATAGAAAGGTGCAAAATTTAGTATTTTGTCCCTTTGTGCATTTTTTTGTGTGGCCGTTTTAGTCATGTTGGCTTCAGCTTCAGTCAGCATCTTTACAAGGTCTTCTACTTTTATTTTGGGGTTGACATGCATATTTAATGCTAAAACTTATTCAACTTGGGAAACCAGAACTTGTCTCCTTTCTGAGCAGTATGATGATGGGACATTTGCATGATGTTTATAATTGAAAATAACCATTTGTGTGTGGCACCTTTAGGCATCTGAAAATTGTACCCAAGGATTCAATTCAATTCAATTCAGTTTATTTATATAGCGCCAAATCACAACAAAGTTGTATCAGGGCACTTTACAGAAACATTCACATACATAAAAGCCAATTAGTAGTTAAATATATATATTGTGGATAAACCACAGTTGTAAAGGTTAACAATACTATTACTGATACCTTGACTGATTTATTTTAAAATTCCCATGAAGTCAAACTGTGTGTTGGAGGGTTGCCTTAAAACATTTCCACAAATGGGCCTCGAAACAACTCAAACATTGTCTGCTAAGCTATAAATAATTTCACCATAAATGTATCATCATCTGGGCTTTCCTAAATTGATTAAAGGCTTAATAATCTTAGTGGCTTAGACCAGGGGTGCCCAATATGCCAATTGTGATCTATGCACAATGAATGCAGCTGAGCCCTGCATCAGGGTTGTCAGATAAATTCAAAATGTCTTGTTTATCCCCTCCTTTTCTGTGCACATGTTCAACAAATATAACATACACCTCGTCAGTTCTGGGAGTGGGCCTGCAGTCTCTGACAGAGGTGTCTGAGCAGAGGATGCTGAGCAAACTGCTCCAGATCCTGAACAACACGTCACACCCCCTGCATGACACCCTGGACTCTTACCACAGCACCTTAAGTCGTAGACTGAGACCACCGAGGTGCTCCACAGAACACCACAGGAAGTCCATCAAACTTTTCAACTCCTCCCCCTTTCTACACACAGAACAATAAAATTAATCCTGCACCACAATAAACATTTTAATGTTTCTGTCTGCACCTGTTTTAGAACTTAATTGTTGGTATTTTTATATTCTCTGTTGTTTTTTGATATCTTGTGTGATTCCTTGTGTATGTTCCTTTGTACTGAAACTCTGGCACAACAATTTCCTGTGGGATCAATGAAGTTCTATCTTATTTTATCTTATCTTAGATTATTCAGCACATATGACACTTTAGGTCAAAATACTATAATTTTAAAGCCACAGTACTATAGTTCATAATTTCTTATCTGGCAACCCAACTGACATGGAAACTACAACATTATCATGTAAACCCACTCATTTTTTTATTTATTTTTTTGTTTGTTTATTACTCCCAACAAACATTCAAAACAAGTAACATTTCCAGATGTTGTTCTGCGTAAACGGGGCCTTATAGCAGGTAGATCACGTTGACTTGGTCATTTTAAAAAGAGCTGCAGGCTGAAAATTGTGGACATCTCTGGCTTAGAGTGTAGTGTACTTTTGACTTTAAAGAAAGTAATTAATTATTTTTTCTTGAATTAATAATAATAAATCTATAATTTTGGGGAAATTTAGCAAATAGAAATAATTTTGAGAATTCAGAAATTCAGAAATATGTGCACTTTGGTTTTAGGTCAGACAGTAGAAAAATGTGTCTGTGTCTTTATAATGCAGTGGATGTAAATACACAGATTAAACAAAATATTTTAAGTGAAATTATGTATTTTAGAATTCCCTTTTGTTTTGATGTTTTTATTTATTTTATTTGAATTGCTTCTAGTGTGATAATAAACCAAACACTGGTTTTATTGTCATACTCGTGAGTTATTATGTCTTCTTTTGCTGTTTTCACACTAACCACTAATAAATAACTGCTGTCAAATCTTTTCCGTTGAAAATGTATTTTGTGTCAAATGTTTCAGTATTTTGGCCTTCACTAGACAGCAAGAAAATTAACAGCAAGAAAATTAACACACTTGATAGCTTCTTAGATAGTGATTGAGATGCTTCTCCTTGATGAGTGACCTTTGGTACTGATAGAGATGAATGTTTCACTTGCCCACGATCAGATCGGTTGTAACAACCAGCCGCAAAACACACCTGCACCATTATCCCACAGATATGAGACAATAAATTGCAGAGTACTGACCAATGCCGAGACACGTGACCAACAATATGGTGGATTGATCATGCGGACTGATGAAGTCTTTTGGATGAAAGACAAAATGTTTCAACAAAAAGAAAACATCCAGAGGACTTGACTTAACTGTGTTGGATCCCTTGCATGTGATTTCCTTCAAATCCAGCAGGCCTTTTCTAACTTAAATTTGTCTTTACATGCCAAGAAAACTAAATTTAAATGGTTCAGTCATGGAGGAGGAACAATACCCACCTCAGGGGACTTCACATCTGTAAATGGTGATATTATAGAAGAGGTAACAGTTTATAAATATTTAGGAATTTAGATTGATGGTGCTCTGTCCATTTCACATCTAGTTAATGTTTTGCAGTCTAA